AGGAAAGAAAGAAGGAAGGAAACCTGCTTCACTGGTGAATTCTCTGAAATGTTTCACAACCAATGCATCATAAACTCATCCAAATATTTCCCAACTCATTTTATTAAGTCAGAATTACCTTAATACCAACACCAGAAAAACATATCACAAGGAAAGAAACTAAAGTCCAACATGAACATAAATCCCAAATTTCTAAAAAAATCCCTAAATTCATCAGTATACTGAAATGATTATACAACATGGACAACTGTGATTTTCTCCAGGAATAAAATGTTGGTTCAATACATGAAAATGAATCAATGTACTGTATCATATTAAGAAAACATTTAAAAACAAAAAAATAAGTCATTTAAAATTGGACACAATGTGAATGGGCTTTGCTCTCAAAGATAAAATAAATGAAGAAGGTACAACATAAAACTTAGCTATTAGAATCACAATATTAGAAAAGATGGCATTACTAGTTGTAGGAAACCACAAATAAAAACCGCTTCACACCTAACAGAATGCAAATTTTAAAAACCTGGAAAATAAGAGAAGAGGTTGAAGAGAAACTACACCCTCATCCAATGCTGGGTGGAATGCAATATGATATAACCATTGTGAAAACAGCCACGCAGTTTATCGGAAAGTTAAATAAGATCACCAAATAACAGCAATTCTATTCCCCAGGTATATGCCCAAGAGAACAGAAAATACATGTTAATTGAACAACATATATTCATAAACAGACATATATCATCAGTCAAACTGAAATATTCACCAAGTGATTAAAAAATATGGTACGTCCATACAATAGAATGCTATAAAAAGAAATGGCATACTCATACATGTGACAACACAGATGAACTTAAAAGATTATGCTAACTGAAGGACAGACATATAAATCACACATTGTATGGTTTCGGCTATATTTGAAATGTTCAAAATAAATCAATACAGACAAAAAAAAAAAAGATTAGTGGTTCCCTGATACTACAAATAATAATCACTATTAAGTATTAAGAATGAAGTATCATTTGGGGGTGGGCAAAAGTGGTGGCTGCACAGCCTAATAATATAAAAGCTTCTGAACTCTACACTTTACAGTAGTGAATAGTATATGAATTACATTCCAATTAAAAACAAAAGCCAGGGGCCAGGATGTAGCTCACTGATAAAGTGCTTAACCAGCACATGGGCATCCATGGTTTAATGCCCCTAGCAATGGGAAAAGGTTTCAGTCCCAGTCAATAGGTACTATAAAAAATGTTAGAGGACGTTCTCCAGGTAGAAAGTAATGATGTGAAGAAAACCTTAATCAACACAAAGGAATAAAGAGCCCTAGAAACAGTAAGTATGTGAGTAGATATAAAAATGTGGGTTTTTTTTGGGGGGGGGGGCAGTACTGATAACCAAACCCAGGGCTCACACTGAGCTATACCCCTAATATTTTTATTTTGTAATTTTCAGATGGAGTCTCACTAAGTTGCTAAGTTGCCTAGGTTGAACTCAAACTTGCAATCTTCCTGTCTCAGCTTTCCAGAGTGCTAGGATTACAAGGAGTGCGCTACAATGCCCACCCCATTTTCTTATTCTTTAAATTTCTTTTTAAAAGGTCAGCTTTTGCCAGGTGTGGTGGTGCACTCCTGTAATTCCAGCACTTGGGAGGCTGAGGCAGGTAGATTATAGCAAGTTTGAGACCTGCTTGAGCTACAAAGTGAGCCCAAGGACAGCCTACACCCTATAGCAAGACCCTGTCTCAAAAAGACAAAAAAAAAAGGTCAGCTTTTTAAAGCAAAAGTAATAATAATGAAGTTTATGTCATATGTAGAAGTAAAATCCATAACAGCACAAAGGTGGAGACATAAAATTCATAAAATATCTTTTGCCAGGCAGGGTAGTGCATGCCTGTAATTCTGACATTCAGGAGGCTGAAGCAGAAGGACTGCCATGAATACAAGGCAGTCAGGGTTACAGAGTGAGTTCAGGCCACCCTGAACTGCATAGGGAGACCATGTCTCAAAAAAAAAAAAGGAAAAAGTAACTTAAGATACATGAAATGATATAGCATTAATTGACGACAGATTGGAACAAGTCAAAGATACAGAAAACAAGCCTTAAACCAATAAATGAAAGAGAATTATAGCTAATAAATCAGCAAAGGAGGTAAAATAGAAGCATAAAAGTCATCTAGCTAGGCCAAAAGGAAGGAGAAAAGGAAAAGGAAATGAAGAAACAGGCCAAACAGAAAGCAATTAATAAGATTTTTTTAAATCCAACCATATACATATGTATATAATAAATGTAAGTGATTCAAATATTCTAGTTAAAAGGCAGAGATGTTCAGAATGGATAAAGAAGCAAGACCCAAATATATGATACCCAGAAGATATTCAGACTACAGACACAATTAGAAGATAATCAAAAGGAAGTTTATATAACTAAACTTTATATAACAAAAAGAAACAAATTAAAATGTTTTAATTTTATGTTTACATAACATGTTTATATGGTTATAATATGTTTATATAACAAAAAGAAACAAATTAAAATGACTTCAGGAAAAAAGGCACAAACTATGCAGGACCAGTGAAGCACTACAGACTAAAGTATTTTATATAATTGGCATTACTTCTTCCTTAAAAGGTATAATCTACTAATAAAGCTATATGTGCCTGAAATTTTCTGAGGTTTTAACTACAAAGTTAATCTCTCTCGGGGCTGGGGATTTAGCTCAGCGGCATAAGTGCCTGCTTTGCAAGCGCATGGTCGTGAGTTCGATTCCCAGTACCTACTAAAAAAAAAAAGTTAATCTCTCTAGTAGATACACAGCTAATCATGCTATCTGTTTCTTCTTGAGTGAGATTTCCAATTTATATCTTACAAGAAATTATCATTATCAGAGTTAGGCAGTGATGCACACCTGTAATCCCAGCACTCAGGAGAGTGAAGCAGGAGGATCATGCAAGTTCTAGGTCAGCCTGGGCTATATGAGATCTTATCTCAAAGAAAAATCATTATCAAATTTTATTAACATAAATTTATTTAGTTGTTATCCCTTTAACATCTGTAATATCTAGTTATGTTCTCTTACACTTCTCATTTTGATAATTTGTAAATTCTCTTTTATTCTTGACCAGTTGACTAGGGTTTCACATATTTTGGTGATTGTATCAGGGACCTGCTTTTGAATTCATTAATTTTTGTTTTGCATATCATCGATTGCTGCTTCTATTTCCTCTCTTCTCTTTATTTCGAGTTTTATTTATTCTTCATTTAGCAGTTTCACAAGGAAGATTAAGTTGAAATCTTTTGTGCATAAACATTTAGACACTGGGCACTAACGGATTTCTGTTCAAAACACTGTTTTAGAAATGTGTTAGTTCCGGAGCTGGGGATTTAGCTCAGTGGCATAAGCACCTGCCTTGTAAGCAGGCAGTCGTGAGTTCAATCCCTGGTAAAATGAAAAAGACAATCCCGATAAAAATGAAAAAGACAAAAAAAAAAAAAAAAAAAAGGAATGTGTTAGTTCCACAAATTTTGGGAAGGTTTTTCAGGTTGTCTTTTTGTTCCTACTTTTCTAATTTGATTTCATTGTGCTCAGTTTGTAAGGTTTCAAACTTTTAAAATTCATTAACACTTGTTATATGGCCAACAATATGGCCTATTTTGGTTAAATTTTTCTTGCACATGTGAGTATTACCCTGTTGCTGGCTAGGCTGTTCTACAAATATTAATTACATTTAAGTTGACTGGAAGCATTATTCAAATCTTCTAAAGCTTGATTTTCTGTATACTTGTTCTATTAATATAGAACATGGTACTGAAATATAAATCTGTGACTCTATTTCTTCTTGCATTTCTGTCAGTTTCTGCCTCACATATTTTGAAGTTCTATACTTAGTGGCATAAATATTTTAAATTGCTATGTCCACTGGGCATGGTGATGCACTCCTGTAATCCCAGCACTGCATTTACGAGACTAAGGCAGGAGGATTCTTGCCAGTTCCAGGCCAGCCTAAGCTCCACAGTGAGTTCAAGACCAGCCTGGACTACATAGTGAGACTTTGTCTCAAAAACACATACAAACACTCATACCACCTTGTTTTGAAGGCCTGTATTGTCAAGTGCTCTGGGCTCTTTGATATTGTTGTTAATATGCCTTTTTCGTTTGATGTTTTCTAGGAACTTTTTGTCTTTGTGTTTTTTCCTCTAATATAGAAAGAATAGGTATACATATAGAGACTCATGCATGCACAGAACTTCTAAATAGTTTATGAGAATCAATTTTATACATGATGAAATGAACAGCTATTTTGAAGAAAAAGAGACACTAAGGTACCCAGTGCTGATTCCCAGTAGCGTCATGATGTGAAATGTTTGTTTCACATCAGCCTTAATAGTATTGCTGGATTTCACATCATGTAAGGTATCCAGTAGCGTCATGATGTGAAATCCAGCAATATTATTATTCTTTTTTCAGAGTGATTTTAGTCTATTTTGTTTTGTTTAATTTCAACTTATGTGAAGGTATGGACAGCTATTTTGAAGAGAATGAGAAACATTACGGCAGCTATTGTTGACTTCTTACTGTCTGGTCTTGAAGACCTAAAATGCCTTCATCATCCTGTTCCGATCAGTTTTATACTATTTTGTTTGAACTCATCATATGTGAAGATATGGACAACTATTTGGAAGAAAACAAGAAACAGTGTGATACAGTGAAGATCTGTGGTTGTCTTGCTTTGAAATCTGTCTCTTACATTGTTTCCTTATGATCTGTTTTGTTCTGTTTAATTTACCCTCTTTAAAATAAAAATTAAAAAAAAAACATATACAAACAAAAAATTTGTTATATCTTATTAATTCACCCCTTTAATACAAAATGGCCTTCTTCAATAAACACTGATAATGGGTCTTACTCGTAAAGACAATTAGGAAGTAACACTGAAGAAAATGGCTAGTTGACATGACTTCTCTTTCCCATCTTATGAGCCACATGTTTATAGAATTCTTACCGTATCATCAAGACCATCTATGTGCAAAACTACTGTTTTGGCACGTTTGTTTGTAGTTCCTAGAAAAAACTGAGCTTTCCTCCGACGTGAATTCATTTCATTAAAACTATCACCATCTGCCATATTGGAAGACTGAAGAATGTCATAGACTTCAGAGGCCAGAAGTTTTGTTTCACCAGGCGTTGTAGTCCTTACAAAAACACAAATTAATAAATCAGTCATTTCCACAGAGTCTCTAATTTTATTTTTCAATTTTTGAGGAGCCTTGTTTCTTTCATACTGTTTTGTTCAAATTAAATACAGTAATGTAGGCCAGATATGGTGGCACTGACCTATAATCCCAGCACTCAGAAGGCTGATGAAGGAAAATCAAGAGTTTGAGGCCAACTTAGGTTACATAGCAAATTCAAGGCCAGCCTATGCTATATAGCAAGATTCTGTCTCAAAAAAAAAAAAAAAAAGGTAGAAAGTAATTTAAACTTAAAAGCAATAATGCAAAAAAGACATCAACTCTATAGCAGTCTTCTAATGTGTTTAAAATCCATCATTTATTGAAATTCAAAATCTATACTGCAATACAAAAAGTACATTTAACCAAAATCATTAATTAAATAGGAAACAAACTAGTAAAATCAGGTTATGACATGTCCTTATTTTTCACTGATACTCAGCGTTCAAGACTAAAGTATCCTGACGTTCAAAAAAATCACAATATATAATAATAAAAAAAGAGAAAACAAAGATAGGATCATTCACATTATTAGCTTTTTAAACTTTCTTAGCATATTCAAAATGATTCTATTTCTTAACTTACAATTTTACATATCTTCTACAAAGCATGTATTGTATATGTCATAAACCACAACTCAAAAGTTTTTATTCTTAAACATTCAAATCCTACCATTAACTCTTTACATCAACATCTAGTACTCTGCTGCCTAACAACTACAGAGCACTTGAAATGCAGCTAGTGCAAAAAAAGGAATGAATTTTATTTATTTTTAACTAATTTAAACAGCACATTAGTAAGTGGCTACTATACTGGATAGATCTAATGGTCCTTAATTAGTTTGACAAATAATAAGTGCAAACAACTGAAGAAATTCACTTCACTTACAAATGGGCTCAATTAAGACCCAACTTTTTTTTTTTTATCAGTACCAGGGAGCCAACTCAGGACACCTACTTGCAAGGCAGGTTCTTATGCCGCTAAGCTAAATCCCCAGCCCCCATTACCCCCTAGGAGGGCAAGGCAGAATACTAGGCTCAGATGTAGCCTGGGTAACTTAACAAGACCCAACCTTAAAATATAAAAAGGATGCGAGTGTGGTAGCTCAGTGGTACAACACTTGCATAGCATATATGAGGCTCTAGGTTCAATCCACAGTATGCCAAAAAGAAAAAGAGTAAGCTAAAATCAACAAAATTGGGGGCTGGGGATTTAGCTCAGCGGCATAAGCACCTGCCTTGCAAGCAGGCAGTCGTGAGTTCGATCCCTGGTACAAATAAAAAGGAAAAAGACCAAAAAAAAAAAAAAAACCACACACAACAAAATTTTATAGAATCATGTGGCGGTTACTTAGGTTAGCAAAACAATTATTTGAAATGTTAAATACCCATACTAGAACTATTCTAAAATTCCATACTTTTACCATGCTCATATAGTAATAAATTACTTTCTGAACAATTTTTTTACTTTTTGGTAAAACCATGTGAACCATGATTTTTCTATGCTTTTTACAGTTGCTGTTCAGTGCTGAGGATCAAACCCAGGGCCTCATGCATGCAAGGCAAAGGGCTCTACTACTGAGCAGTCCGAATTTTTCTCCACCTAAAATAGAAAGATTTTATCCAGGCATGGTGACACACACTTGTAATCCCAACACTCTGGAGAAAGAAGCAGGCATTAACAACTTGGAGTTGGTGTCAGAGTTTACAAGTTTAATGCTTCCACAAACTTCCCCATTTCAAATGTCAGTTGCAGGTATTGGGTCCCTAGAATTGCCCACATTTCTGTCCAACTTAGCTACAAAATTTGGAAGGTATACACAACTTCCCTTTCCAAGTTCAAAGCTTTGCTAGCAAACAATTCACAGAATACAGGAAGACAGTTTAACTATGTTTACTTGCTTATCATGGTGGCTATAACTCAGGAACAGTCAGATTAAAGAAGATGGGTCCTAAGGGTTAGTATGGGGTACAAGGAGCTTCCCGACCCTCTCTAGCATGCCACTCTTCCTGGCAGCTTGTTATATTCTCCAACCCAGCTTACCAAACCTCATTAAAAAAAATTTTTTTTTTTTCCTTAAGACAGGATCTCACACACAGTGTATCCTAATGACTTAGTATAGAGCTCCTACAATGCTACTTGCATTGTTTAAAAGGCAACCTTCAAATCTTGAGATCTGCTGCTGCCAAATGAACTACAAAATGTATATAAAAATTATTACACCAGGTCCCTTAATAGGGCTACAGAACCAAATTATAATGAAATACACAGTGAATGCCTTTCTTCTTTTACTATTAGAGAAATAACCAATTATCACCATATTGTTCTAGAAATATATACTTTATTTCAATTTAAAAATAAGCCACTTGCAGAAGCCATCCAAATACAATGCATGGGTCTCCGAGAAGGATTTGCCCTGCTACAGTCAGTTACTAGCTATCATAGCTTTAAGATCTACCACAAATCCAACTAAGTTTTCCTCCCAGGAAGCCACCAGACAGTGACTGAGTGGTGGGGTCCCGGCAATCTCTGCTTGAAGCAGGATCCCTCTGTAGGGCGGTCTTCACTTCTAGCTCCACTTGGGGTTGGTTATCAGATCTATATTGTAAAAGGAAGCTCTGCCTGCCCTTTGTTTTCCCTCTTCCACAAACAGCTCTGCCCTGCAGCTGCCTAGTGACTTTCCCTGCCCAATCTTATTCCTCTTTATCTTTACAGACCTTATTCTACAACAAACCTCATTTGTTTGTCTTGGTTGCTTTGTTTTTTGAAACAAGGTCTTGCTAATGTAGTTCAGATCAGGCTGGCCTCAGACTCAAGAGAGATTCACCTGCCTCAGCCTCCTGAGTGCTTTGAGTACAAGAATGTGCCACCACACTTGAGATCTGCTGCTGTCAAATGAACTACAAAATACATATAAAAATTAATACACCAGATCCCTTAATAGGGCTACAGAACCAAATTATAATGAAATACAATGGCAAACTTCATTCACTTCTAAATCTCAGGATCTACTTCCCTTATGATTTGCCAAGATAATGCCCTGAACTGATACCAGTCTCCTGGAGAACAAAAAGCAGTCTTCCTATTTTACTGATATGGGTACATGTAATCAATATCCTTGAGTCAAATAAGCTAGGAAATTGTTTTATAATTGTTTTATAAGTTTGTACGTTTTATAAGTTAAATCTATATCTTTAAGCTTATTCTAAAATTTTCAAGCTCAAATATATATTTTAATATTCCAACATTTTTAAATATAATTTCCCATATTTTTTATTTGTACTACTTTTACTTCTAATTCCAGTGCCTGTACTATTAAACAACACACAAACCACTCGCTTTTTTGTTGTTGTTGTTGTTGTTTTTTTTTTTTTTTTTTAATTTTTATTTAAGGAGAAAAGAAAAGAAAGAAAAAAAAACAGTGAAGGGGTACAAGTTATACAGATTTATAGAATAAAAAAATGTGCAGTAGGAAATCACTAGTTAGTGGATTACATATTGCCATCTTAGAAATAATTGTTCAAGTCACAAAATTAAAGCTTGTAGAGTGGACTTTCCAACAATGATACTGCAAACAGTTCTGTTCAATGATCCAATAACACTCTGTGATATCATTTTCTATCTTATACATTTAAATATACATGCAGTTATATAGTTTAGAGCACTTTCTTTTCCTCTCTTTTGTACAGTGTCTATTACACATTTTGGGTTTCATTGCTCCCACGGTTCTTATTGCTTTTTTGGAAGAGAGTAAAACCAAATGTGACATATCAGAACAGAATCGGTCAAGTCAAAAGGGTGGACATAATAGATAATATAAAAACATAATACAAGGTGATCAACAATGGTTACCATAATGCCTCCTGCTATTTCTAATAGAATTGCCTATATCATTAGTTGTAATACAATTGAACTAAACCGTAAAGAATAAAACCGACAAAACCAAAACATTGGAGATATTGTAGGTCTTCAAAAGTAGATAAAAGTCAACGAGAATGGGCGTTTTAATGAATCTCATTATCTTCTCAGCTGATGCCTAAACTTTCGAACCTGGTACTATCCAGCAAAACAGAATAGAGGAACCTCAGTCAAAAACAAGATGGTGAGAGTAATACAGGGCTTCAAATCGAGATAATAGAAAGTCAAAGTGGGTTACTATATTATATCCTGCTATATTTTTCCCTTTAATTAAATGGAGAAAAATAAAAAAGTAAATGATGGAGTGGAGATTGAGAAAAAAGAGGGCATAACAGCGAAACAGCACAGATCAAAACATAACCATTTAAGCAGAATAGTGTTTCACCACCAGATAATCCTGACCCAAAACTAGTTACCATATTGACTCCCTCCCTGAAGTCCTTGAGTACAACTTCATATACTGTAGCATTAAGTATATCAAAACAATGTAAATCCGTTTAAGAGAATGACAGCATTATAGAGTATTTAGAATCGACTAACAGAAAATGAACAATGGTCTCTGTATAATCTCCTTGTCTTTAAAAGGTTTTTTCTTATACTATCGTACATAACAAAATCCAATAAGATACAACCTGTTTAGACCATTGGAGACAGAAGAACAAAAGCTAGATGAGACTTCAAAACAAGATGGTACTAAATCAGCATTACCTATTAAGATGTCATTTTCTCCAAAAAAAAGCTGTTCCTATCATCCAATCTTCTCTGTCTCATTTCTGTTGAGCTCTTTTTCTGTCAGTAGCTGTCAGTTTGTCTTCTACATTTTGTTCTCTGCTCCATTTGTTGTGGCCTCCCCGCCCCTATTTCTGGGTTCTTTGTATTTTTCTTTTTTTAGAATATCCTGCAATACTTTCTGTAGGGTTGAATTGGTGGTTGCAAATTCCCCCAGTTCCTCTTTATCCTGGAAGCACCTCGTTTTTCCATCAATTTCCAGGGACAGTTGTGCAGGATATCTCAGTCTTGGCTGGAGATTATTATCTTTCAAAGCTTGAATTATTTCTCCCCATGCTCTTCGTGATTTGATGGTTTGTGAAGAGAAATCTGCTGTAATTCTGATGGGTATTCCCTTGTAAGTGATCTGTTTCTTGTCTCTTACAGCTTTTAATATTCTGTTCTTGTATTGAATTTCTGGAATTTTTATTATTATATGCCTGGGTGTTTCTCTGTTAGGGTTGTAGGTAGCTGGGGTCCTGTATGCCTCATACATTTGAGTATCTTTACCTTTTGCTAAATTAGGAAAATTCTCCTGGATTATTTCTGTGAGTAGCTTTTGTAGTTCACTTGTTTGTGTCCCTACTTCTTCTTTTATGTTCTTAATCCTTAAGTTATGGCTCCTCTTATCATCTTCTTGTCTTTGTATTATTGCTGTGTGTTTCTTTGTTATTTTTAAGAAGTTTTTCATTGCATTCTCCCATGTTTCAAGTCTGCCCTCCAATTCAGATAGTCTGTCCTTAGTTTCTTTCAAGCTGTTATGCCAGTCTTGGGTAGACTTCTTAATGTCTTGATAGTCCCTTTGCACCTGCTTCACATACTCAATGCTTTCTCTGTTTTCTCCATCAAGCAATTCTCCCCTCTTTATCTGTTCTTCCATTCCACCATCTGCTTTTTCCTGGGTGGTGCTTAGCATTTCTCTAACTATTCTGCATACTTCTAGCTTCAGGTCATAGATAACTTCATTTCTGAATTGGTCTATGAGGCTCTCTAAATGGCGCTTAATGTATATTGGTGCAGTGTCCACTATTGCCTGATTCTCAGGATTGGGGGCCGAGGAGCCTTTTTTGTTGCTTCCCTTCCCCATATTTTCTGTTCCTTATAAAATGCAATCTTACACAGGAGGTCCGGCTTCCCTGCCTGTCAGCCACAGCCTGATCAAATTGCGCTGGCTAGTTGTTCCCACCCACCGCTGCGCCCCAGGGAGTTGCGGAGGAGGCAGCCTACGCGGGAGTCGGTCGCTCCTCCGGGCCACCGTCAGGCTCTGGGATCTGGGTTAGGCCAGCCTAGGGAGTCCGCGAGCAGCGTCCCTCCGGCCAGGCACCTTTCACCAATCCCGTCCGAGAGGGGAATGTGCGGCTGCAGTTGCCACCGCGCCCTGCTCTTACAGGACTGCCCGAGCCCAGAAAAACCTCCGCTGGAGTCAAACTGTGGTAGGGAGTCAGTTCCTCGCTCACCTCACCACCAGTCAGCCTTCCTCCCTGTCCGTCGCGTTTCTGACTCCGTTCGCAGACTCCCGTTCCCGAGCCTCTGCGTGTCTCTCCTTGCCGAGCCGCTGTGGAGGTAGCCAGCTGCCGGGCGGCGGGAAATCCAACCCGCGGTTTCCGATGGCGCGGGGACTCCGTTCCCAGACTCCCGTTCCCAGAGCTCGGCGGTCGCGTCTCTCCTTGCCGAGCCGCTGTGGAGGTAGCCGGCCGCCGGGCGGCGGGAAATCCAAACCGCGGTTTCCGATGGCGCGGGGACTCCGTTCCCAGACTCCCGTTCCCAGAGCTCGGCGGTCGCGTCTCTCCTTGCCGAGCCGCTGTGGAGGTAGCCGGCCGCCGGGCGGCGGGAAATCCAAACCGCGGTTTCCGATGGCGCGGGGACTCCGTTCCCAGACTCCCGTTCCCAGAGCTCAGCGGTCGCGTCTCTCCTTGCCGAGCCGCTGTGGAGGTAGCCGGCCGCCGGGTGGCGGGAAATCCAACCCGCGGTTTCCGATGGCACGGGGACTCCGTTCCCAGACTCCCGTTCCCAGAGCTCGGCGGTCGCGTCTCTCCTTGCCGAGCCGCTGTGGAGGTAGCCGGCCGCCGGGCGGCGGGAAATCCAAACCGCGGTTTCCGATGGCGCGGGGACTCCGTTCCCAGACTCCCGTTCCCAGAGCTCGGCGGTCGCATCTCTCCTTGCCGAGCCGCTGTGGAGGTAGCCGGCCGCCGGGCGGCGGGAAATCCAACCCGCGGTTTCCGATGGCGCGGGGACTCCGTTCCCAGACTCCCGTTCCCAGAGCTCGGCGGTCGCGTCTCTCCTTGCCGAGCCGCTGTGGAGGCGCCGGCCGCCGGGCGGCGGGAAATCCAAACCGCGGTTTCCAATGGCGCGGAGTCGAGCCTCCACACCGAGATTTTTCTGTTCCTATTTTAGCGCCAGGACTGTATTCCAAGTTGGATTCTCTCAGCCCAGTTTGTTCCTGAGTCAGTAGAGCATATCTCTACTGGTTCGTATCTCCTTAGTCCGCATCATTCCTGGCCTCTGAGCCGAGCCTTTAGAGAGCGTTCAGTAGTTGCTGTTGTCTGTCCGCCATGTTCTCCTACAATCTTTTTTGTTGTTGTTGGACTGAGGATTAAACTCCATTCCTTGCACAGAGCTCTATTTCCAGCCATTTTTTCTGCTTTTTTTTGTTTTGAGATAGAATCTCAATAAATTGTCCTGGCTAGACTCTACTTTTCAAATGGCCAAGATTACACATGTATACCACAAAGCCCAGCAAAATTCTCATTTCTAAGAAATCAATTTAATGGTTTGAACCTTCTAACAAACCTCTCACTGAGGTTTATGAAAATCTCACTGAAAAACTTAATTATCACAATCCTGATGATGATTATTCTGAGTAAAATCAGAATAAATGAACAAAAGAATTGTAACATTCTAGAGTACTGCTTATTGTCAAAAATGATCAAATATTTATATTGCTCTGCTACTTATATACAATTAATAAAACTTCTTACAAAGTTAAAATGTTCTTTTTTTTAAAAAATTATATGTAATAGTGTTAGTAAACCTATTTTAAATAAAATTTGAAACCAGGTATGATAGGGCATACCCATAACCCAAGAACTTTGAGAGGCTATGGAAGATCACAAGTTTGAGTCCCACCTGGCCAACTTAGTGAGACTCTGCCTCAAAATAAAAAAATAACCAAGGTTAGGGATGTAGCTCAGTGTGAAAGCTGTGTGTTCAATCTCTGTACCACAAAACAAACACATAAATCAATAACAGAATCTCAACATTTTTATCAGGAGTATTAGTGTTAATATCAATGTTACCAATAACCTTAAAATTAATCATCACAATATTTTTAGCCATGTAGCATATGAAAGTATGCCTAGCTGGGCATGATGGTGCATGCCATTAATCCTAGCACTTAGCAGGCTAAAGCAGGACTGCCACATGCTTCAGGCCAGGCTGTGTTAATAGTGAGTTCAAGGACAGCCTAAGTTACATAGCAAGACCCTGGCTCAAAAAAAAAAGAATGCCTATAATTAGAATTAAAATTTTTAAATGAAATAAGCAAGAAAACAGAGCCTGGCATTGTGGCACATGCTTATAATCCCAGCACTCAGGAGGCTAAAGCAGAAGTGGCCCAAGTTTGAAGCCAACCTGTCCTACACTGCAAGACCCTGTTTCAAAAAAACAAAACAACAAAAACACATGAGACACATAAATTTACCCTAATAGTTTATATTTAACAATATCTATTTTTTTAGCCACAATAGGGGTCTCTCTTGTACTTACTTCTGTATAACATTTTGCAAGCTTAACATCATACCCAGTTCGCCTTTCATCTTTTCTCTGTTTGCACGACATTCTGCCAAGTATCGAAGAGCCTACAGCAGTAAACAACAATAGGTTACTTTACATTCCCATACTACTCAAAATTAAAAGCACTAACTTACTGCAAGAAGAAAAAGAGAAAGTGCCTTTCACTTTTAGATTCACTGATTTTGAAGTGTTTAGATATTCTTCTTTAGAACCAGGAGGTTCATCTCCTGGTAGAGAAATGACCCTCAGAGTTGTAACGGGTGAATTTGCTCTTTGAAATAAAGGTTCTAACTTATCTAGAGGTCAGAACTAGATTGTTCTAGTTTTATTTTTACCACTTTATCTTGACAAGGATACAACCAAGGAACTATATCCCATTTATTAATTTCAAGTAGTCACAACATGTACTAGCCACCGTGTCCCTACATGCTTTTTACCCATTAAATTGTCAAGAAGGAAAACATACACCTCTGTAAAATGAATTGATTCTATTTCACTACATCTTTAAAAAATAGTTTTTAAAAGAAAAAAATCCAAAGACAAATGGTCACAAATTGTGTGTGAGCTAAACCAACTTTATTAGTGTTTTTCTTTTTCCTTTGTCTTTTTGAGTTATGCAGTTCCGGCTGACCTTGAACTCACCTTGTAGCCCAGGCTGATTTTGAACTTGCATCGATCCTCCTGTTTCAGCCTCCCAAATGCTGGGATTACTGGTATGCACCACCACGCCTGGCTGAGTGGTTTTTTCTTAAGCATTTAAAATGTTTCGCAATTATTTCTTTCATGAGCCTCATCTTTAGCAATATCATTTAGCTATTTCCCTTGAGACCTAAATAATACTGGCATCTGCAAGTCCTGTCTCTCATAATACCTGATACTTAGGGGAGTATCTGGTGGGCTACACCATCCAAAACTCTGCACCTCAGTTCACTGACCTTTCACTAATATTACTACTAGTCTTTTGACTTCCATTTCCAAAGTGATTGGTCTTTACAAAAAATGTACCATTTATAGTCACAAACCCCACAATTTCCTTGCATTCCTGCAAATTACTCGTACTGTAACTTGTACTTCAGCCCAAAAATGTTTTAGAAACTGTCCTCCTTAAAAAACTAATTGATAGGGGCTGGGGATTTAGCTCAGCAGCATAAGCGCCTGCCTTGCAAGCAGGCAGTCGTGAGTTCAATCCCTGGTACCGATAAAAACGAAAAAGACCAAAAAAAAACCACTAATTGACAGGACAACATATATCAAATATTCACTTCAGATACTGGTAAAGAGGCAATATAGGGCCAGGCATTGTGGCGCACTTGTAATCCCAGCACTTGGGACCCTGAGGCAGGAGAATCACCTGTTGAGTCCAAGGCCAGCCTGGGCTACAGAAATGAGTTCAAGCCCAGCCTAGAGAGTGAGACCTGTCTCCAAAATGGGAGGGCCTATGTAAGACTATAAAACACAAGAAAAGAAATGATGACATAGGTCTTATAATTATCCCACTTCCTGCTAATGAAGAAGTTCCTAGATTGCAGCACAGGACAGAGGAACTCAAATGAAGTTTAATTGTCTTGCTGGATTTAGGAGGCAGAGATCAAACCTAGAGTGGCTAGAATTTGTAGATCAGAGTAACAAGAGAGAAAGCATCTGCATAGCAAGAAGAGTTTCAGAGATCCACAAAGGGATGTCCAAGAATCTGACTGAATAATGATCTGTGTGTGCCTGGGATAAAAAGCTACAAGGCTAGGAAATAACATCACCAGAAAGTGGGGAAAACAAATCTTGAAACTCACAAAAGGTTGGGAACAGTTTGGGAAGTCACAAGCCAAAGGTATAAAGACCTCCCCACTTGGGACCAACAGGGAAAACCCTCAAAAGATCTTCACCTTAGCAGTAAACATATCATAGAACAAAGTCTCCTTTGGCTCCACCCTGATAAAGCCCAAGACAAATTTAGAAAGAATCAAACTTAGTTCAAATAATTTATCAGAAATATAGAACAAAGTTCAAGAATATTGAGGGATTAAAAAAAAATCCTGAAACTCCAGAACATTTTTAATTGGCAGCTGATTAGAAATTACCAGGTACCAAACAGGATACATCAAAAAGATCACAAAAAGATGACCAGGTAGGCTTCATCCTAGGGATGCAAGAATGGCCCAACATATGCAAATCAATAAATGTAATATATTACATAAACAGAAGCAAAGGCAAAAATCACATCATCATCTCATTAGATGCAGAAAGTCTTTGAAAGAATCCAACAGCTATTCATGATTAAAAAAAAAAAACACTGAAGAAAATAGGTTTATCTCAATCTGGTAAGTAATTTACAACAAACCAATTGCCAACATTTTATTACATGAGGAAAAAATAAAGGCTTTCCTCCTAAAATCAGGAATAAGACAAAAATGTCTACTATCATCACTCCTGTCCAACACAGTTCTTAAAATATTAGCCAGAGCAATCAGGCAAGAAAGAGAAATAAAACAGGTATGTGTACAAATGGAAAAAATGAAATTATCATTATTTGCAGATATGGTCCTCAAGACTAAAAAAACTTACCAAAAGACTCCTAAAGTAACCAAATTCAGCAGTGTAGCAGAATGCAAAATTAACACACAAAATTCAGTAGCACTCCTGTACACCAATATCAAAGAAATAAATTAGCAACAATATCAAGAAAAATTACACACTTAGGAATTAATGTAACCAAGGAAGTGAAAGAACTCTACAATGAAAACTACAGTACTCTGAAAAAGGACATCGAAGACATCAGAAAATGGAGAGATATTCCCTGTTCCTAAAGAGAAAGAATCAATACAGCCAGACTTCCAAAACTGATACACAGATTTAATGCAATCACAATCAAAATACCAACAGAATCCAGAAAATCCTAAAGTTTATATGGAACCAGAAGAGACCCAGAATAGCAAAAGCAATCCTGAGAAAAAAAGACCAAAGGAAGAAGCATCACAACCTCAGATTTTAAATTTTATTAGAGCCAATCATGGTGGTGCACAACAAAATCCTAGAACTTGGGAGGCTGAGGCAGGAGAACTTTCGTGAATTTGAGGCCAGTCTAGGCTACAAGGTGAAATACACAATGCACATGAAATACATAGTGAGATTCTGTCTCAAAAAACCAAATAAATAAATAAACAAAATTATATTACAAAATTACAATGACAAAAAGTACTGACACAAAAATAAGGCACATAGATCAGTGCAGCAGAACAGAGAATACAGAAGTAACACCAGGCACATTCAGCTAATTTAATCGTTGACATATAAAGGCTTCATGTCACTGTCTAAAATGTGCTGCCTGTGCCTCCCTCATCTCCTCCCCCTAGTGCCTGCTTCTCATGCAGACTTTGATTTTCCCTACTTGCAGTACCCCATGGCCAATGGCATTGCAATTTCATATCTTTATATTATTAAAAGTTGTTTCTATTGCACCATTTTTAATTTGGAGCTTTAACAAATGTTCATACACAAATCAATGAAAGAGTTCTATGGGAAAAAAATTGTTTAAAGCAAAATAAAGTACTATAAACATAGATGCTTAAACACATGTAGAAGTGTATGACAAAAATACAACAAAAGACGTGAGAAAGGAAAGGAAATATACTTTTAATTATTTGTACACAATACATGAAATATATGCATCATTTCAATGTAGACTGATAAATTAAAAATGTAGCTGGGCGTGGGAACACATCTATCATCCCAGCAGTTGGGAGGCTAAGGCAAGAAGAACACCATTAGTTTGAGGCCAACCTGGGCTATACAGTGAGTTCAAGGCCAGCCTGGATTACATAGCAAGCCTCTATCTCACAAAACAAAACCAAAAAAAAAAAAAAAAAAAAAAAAAGCATACTGTAAAACAGAGTAAATTAATACAACAACAAAGGGACAAACAATAATCACTTGTGAAAATAAGAGGTTATTATGAAAACATCACATCTATTCTTTAATTTCACTGTCCACTGATCCCTCTACTTAGCTCCATTCCGTTATAATTTTACTTCCCCTTACCATTCAGTCTAGTACCTATTTCAGCCACTCTGTTGCATAAAACACAAAATTCCGGGCTGGGGATTTAGCTCAACAGCATAGGCACCTGCCTTGCAAGTGAGTTCGATCCCTAGTACCACAAAAAAAAAAAAAAATAATAATAATAATAATAACCCTTGTTTATCATTCTATCCAATGTGCCTGGCCAAATATCAACCCATTATAGACAAATGCAACTATTTTTGGCTCTCAGGGCCTGTATTGGGCCCAAAAGAGAAAAAGGAATTTCACAACCAAGTCGTACAGCAATTCAGTGCTACCAAACTAATTATTACCTCAATAGTACTAACCAATCTTACCATCCTCCTCAGTGAGCAACCTTTCCCATTTTCAATAATTAGGAAATTCTTCTAATTTTCTCCTCTGGCCACCCTTGCCTTCTGAGCTTAGATATTCTAGTCTACAAAAAAACAAAACAAAACAAAACAAAACAAAAAAAACCACTTGCTTCAGCCCCAAGCTCCTCTGCACAGACCAGCACCTTCTCGTTCCTCCTCCCCTTAGTAAGAAAACTGAAGCAGTATCCAAACTAGAAGCCAGGCAGTTTTTCTTCCTTGTTACTGCTGTTCATATTTATATCAATGTCAGTTTTGCCCATTAAACTTTACTCTGTAAGGCCAAAATAGAAAATTCAAGTTTTTACAAACTTGTGAAATAAGACTAAACAGAAACTTTATCATGACTCTTTAACTAAATGACAGTGAGAAAAACATATTACATTAATTTTCTTTTGAACTTTTTTGTTATGAAAATTTTATAGCACACAAGATAGAATACATATATGCCAAACCTCATGTACCAATCATGCAGCTTAAACAATTACCAACCACTTGGAAATTTTGTTTTCTCTGTCTCCATTGCCCATAACCACAAGGATGTTTTATAAAAAAATCTAATAAGAGAATACATCATCGCACTGTAAATGTTTCAGTACATCCCTAGAAAATTATTTTTAATTAACTTAATATCACTATTACAATACCTTGCAAAAGTAATGATGATTCTTTAATATCTACAATCCATATTCATTTCCAGCTACTTAAAAATTATTTAAATGGGGATCCCAATGGGACTGATGTGGATCCAAAACCAGGATCCAAAATAGGATTGATATAGCCCTTGGTTATCTTTTAAAAATCTGTAAGAGTTACTATCGTCACTTTCTCCAATCCAACTGCCTTTCTTTTAACACTAGCTACTATTCAAAGAATCACATTATTTGTCCTCAAGAAATTATCACATTCTGAAACATAAAAAAAAAAAGAGAAATTATCGCATTCTGTATTTGTTCCCTTATGCTGTTTAACATGTTTCTCTAGCCCCCCATTTCTCATAACATAGTCCCTTTTGCTTGTTTTTGTTGTCTGAGACAGTGGCTCACTATACAGCTCAAGGTGACCTTTAACTCACAGTGTGTTCTAGGCTGCCCTGGAACTCATGGAGATCTTCCTCCTGCCTCAGCCTCCGGAGCACTGGGACTACACGCACCTGCCAACACGCCCAGTGTCCTTTTGAATTATTAGCTATGACTTTCTGTATTTTCCTAACTTTCTTTTTCATATTGAAATAACAAGTCCCAGGTTGCAGATTTAGCTCAGCGGCATAAGTGCCTGCCTTGCAAGTACATAGTCATGGGTTCAATCCCTGGTACCGATTAAAAAAATACAAGTCCCACATCCATCAGATAATGAATAAATAAAATGTGTCATGTCCATACAATGGAGTGTTACTCAGCCTCCAAAGGAAATGAAGTACTGATACATGTTGAGATACAGACAAACTTTAAAGATAATGTATTTATTTGCGGGGGGGTGGGGGGGCATCTTTTTGAGACAGGGTTTCACTATGCAGTTCAGGCTGGCCTTGAACTATGTAACCCAGACTGGCCTCAAACTTGCAGTGATCCTCCTGCCTTACCCTCCCAAATGCTGGATTAAAGTGTACACCACCATGCTTTCTTTTTAAGTAAAGGACTAGGGGATGTACTTTAGTGGTTGAGTGCTCCCCCAGCATCTATGAAGCCCTGGATTCGACTTCCAGCACCACGAAAGAAACACAAAAGGTTATGACTGGGTGGAATGGTGCATACCTACAATCTAAACTATTTAAAAGACAGAGGTATGATTACTGGCCTGAGCAACAGTGAAACTCTATCTAAAAAATAAAACAAACTAGGTGTAATGGCAGGTGCCATTAGGCTCATCTTCTTGGGAGGCTGAGGCAAGAGAATCACAAGTTCAAGGCCAGCCTGGGCAACTTAGCAAGACTTTGTCATAAAATACAATAAAAAAGGCTGTGGATAGAGCTCAGCACTTCTGTGGCAATTTCTTTTGCAGCACTTCTTTTGCAATTCCTAGTATTGCAAAAAACAAACAAACAAACTAGATTATCTTGTTAACTAGAAACAGAAAGTAGATTTCATATATGTAGTATCCTACCATTTGTTACAGGATAAAAAAAAATGTGGCTTGTTACTATTTGTATAAATAGACTATTCATGTACTGTAGTTTCTGTATGTTTTACATATAGAAATACAGACTATTATTTGGTCTGGTTTCTTAATTTTCTACCATGTTACCCAATACGTTTTCAAATTCTCCTTCATTGCAAAATTCAATCCCAATACTAAAGGCAACTTACAAGCAAAGCTGAGTGGACTACAGAGGGGTTGGGATGGTCCATAAATAAAATAAGGCCAGGCAGACATCCTTGATCCTGGACAATAGCTCGTCTATTTAACGGATCTGCTGCTAGATCTCGTAGCTGGTTAACTACTGATAGAGCATCAGGTTCTTCATTCATGGTAGAGGATGAAGAATTCATCTTCTATGTCATGCACATGAATAAATCTTCTTAAATTCTGTAGAAAAGGTTTGCAAAATTAGTTTTAAGCCACTAAAGTAAATTAGTATACTTGTTAAATAATGATTATAATATCTTTAGCAAGAAACATATGACTCTAAATCATACACATAGAGAAATGACAATTCTATACTTTGAGAAAAATAAAATGAACATAAAAAGCTGAAGAATCAAGTTATTTTTATGTACACAATGTTTAAAGAACATATGTTGTACTCAATATTCTAAGCAGCAATACATATTTTAATAATGCTAAAGTCACAAAAAACAAATCTTTACAGTTCAAGCTTGTAACCTTTGCTGTACTTCTCAAACTGTGACCCTGCCAGTTTTCTTCCCTTTGAACATGCCCAGCCTAAAACAAGTAAGTGTCTCGGGGAAAACTGACTAGCTGATAGTTTGCTTTTCTTTCTTCCTCTCTCTCTCTTTTTTATTCATCTATGAACAAAAAACCCAGCATATTGGCTCTCTAAAACAAAAAATTCCCTAAGAAAAAGGCATCAAAGAAGGTTATAAATGAAGAAGTCCAGAAACCTGTGCTCAGCAGCTTGAACTACCACAGTGAATCCAAACTGAATCTAGACATACCTGTCCATCTCCATCTCATCTTCTACTGCCTACTAAAAAAAGCAACAGGAAGGAGGAAGTAGAATTTGAAGTCATTTATCCAACAGACAAGAAAACAGTCACAGACAAGTTAAATAATTTGTCCCAAGCTATTTGGTAGAACTGGGTCAAAATCTTATTTACTATTTTTTTAAAATAGTCAGCAGTCTACTTTTAATACAGAACTTTTAAGTTCAGCATAATTTTTTCCATAACAGTAAACAAAGTATTTCAGACAATGTAATATGCTAGACATATAAAAGCCAAAGACACAAAATATCAAGGAATAAACTCATTAATGCAGAAAGTCAAAAACAGCCACTATAACCAAATTACAAGGTATATTTCTTATTGGAAAAAATACAAAAATGTAAATCCTTTAATGTTAATTTCAACAACAATGCCAACTTGTCAGGGATATAGAGAAAAAATTATTCTGGTTAAGACCAGAAAGATCTTTGGGTAAAATTCTTTTCAAGGAAAAAGATAAGACAGAATGGCCTTACCATGTACTGAAATATTCAAAGTTACAAGAACAAAGCAACAAGGCTGGGGATTTAGCTCAGTGGCATAAGGGCTTGCCTGGCAAGTACAAGGTCGAGGTCAATCCCTGGTACCAAAAAAACAAAAAAAAAACCCCAAAAAACCAGCAATAGCAGTAATGGTAGAAGGAGACAGATAAAACAGTTCTCCCAAGAAAATTACTTACACATTCAATATAAGAAAACTATCAACTAAGTCAAACCTAGGCTTCATCACTTGAAAACTGTGACTTCACACAAATCCCTTAAACTCTTTATATCAGTTTCTTCATCTGTAAGATGGATTTAATCACAACAGCTACCAAATAGCATACTATCCAGGTAAAATGACAAGAGAGCTTAAATTAGGGGCCAGCACAAAGTAAAGGTTCAATAAATGATAGTTTTAAATTACATGGTATCAAAAAATCAGTGAAAAAAGTTAAGATATGTTAAGTAGGGCTGGGGATTTAGCTCAGCGGCATAAGCACCTGCCTTGCAAGTAGGCAGTCGTGAGTTCAATCTCCGGTACCGATAAAAAAGAAAAAGACAAAAAAAAAAAAAAAAAAGATACGATAAGTAGTATTAGAGGAACTTCTTAGCATTTTTAAAACTACTGCTAAAGATCTTTAATCACATATGGCCAAAAAACAAAAATCACATTCCAGATAAAATACACTAAATTGATGAATTAAAAAGAAAAAAATCTCAGCCCAGTATAGTGGTACAGACCTGTAAGCTTATCTCTTGGGAGGTTGAGAGGCAGGAAAGTGAGTTCAAGGCCTCCTGGGCTACACAGTGAGACTCTGTCTCAAAAAAACAAACAAAGAACTCAAAACCACACAGGCACCTAAAAGGAAGAAAAAAAACAAAAGAAAGAAAATCTCCAAGCAAATGCAAACAGAGGACTCTAAGACTTTAAGAGTAGGATATTTGCCAGGTAAGGAAAATACTATAGTTACTATAGTCATTTCTAAATAGTCAGGATAAAAGAAAAGGCAATGGCCTGAGTACACTGATAAGACTAAGGGCCAGGCATAGTGGTACATTCCTGTAATCCCAGCACTCCTGAGACTGAGGCAGGAGGACTGCCCTGAGTTCAAGGCCATCAGGGCTAGGGAGTGAGTTCAGGGCCAGCCTGGACTACACAGCACACAGTCTCAGATAACAAAAAATAAAATACTAAGGGATTTGAAAGCATGTTGCCTGACGATGTCTCTGTAATAAGCATTCCAAATATCCTTATGTAAAAGCCAGCTTACCTGTAAGATTTTTATGCTATCACTAGCACAAGTTCTATTCAAAATGGAGCCTGTGGGCCAGAGATTTAGCTCAGTAGCATAAGCACCTGCCTGGCAAGTGTGAGGTCTTGAGTTCAATCCCCGGTAAGGGGGGGGGGGGGGATATGGAGGGAGGCTGCAGAACCAATTACTGGTTCAAAATCCCAAAAACAAAGTTACAGTTAGGAACCAAATATTCAGGGTGGTGGCTCTTTTATAGAATGCAAGTCTTGAAACTAGAGGGTTCTACTCTCATCTAAGATGCCCTAAGGTAATCAGGTAACTATGCAGTGAGAATGATTCTTAAAATTGTATACAGATATTCCTCCATAATGAGCTCTTTGTTTAACAACTCTTCAGACTTATGACCCACCACTCAGACTTACAACTCATCTTTTATTTTTGTACAGTTCTATACATTTTGTTTTTATAATACACCTTGCTTACAAAGTACTGTAATTTTTGCAGATCGTACAGTACAGTAGTTTTACACTATATATTTTATAGTACTGCATATGAGACTCACACAAATAAATGCAAACTCATCAAGTTGTGAGCTTCCTTTGACCATTTCTTTGTTCTGAATATTGTAATGTACATACTATATACACGACCTCAGTGTGCAACCACTTTAAAGTGACCTAGTCACAGAAACTGTACTCGGTTCATTAAAGAAGTAGTGTCTATGTAACCTTTCTTTTGAGATAAAAATTAAAATAGTTAAAACTTGCAATCTTCAAAACCCATTACAAGACAAGGGCTCAAATCAAGATCTAAGGAAAACTGTTCCCTAAGAAAAGGCTAGGAATACCAAGAGTCATCAAAGAACATAACAGGGAGAGCTGTGGTCAAGTGCCACATTTTTACAAGGCTTAAATGAAAGCAAGAAAGGCAGACAGAAGCTATGATTGCTCTCCAACTTAAGGAGGTTTTGTACAAACCTTCAAAAGAGAACCCCTCACTGTTAAAGAGTTTATTTTTATTTTTTAATTTTAATATTTTTGTTAAGTTACTCTGGCATACTTTCCCAACTACATTACCTAAATCCTTTTAAATGATCAGTATCTCTTTGGATTGCAGTTTATATGGCTGATTTTTATAAAAGCAAGCTATGGAATAGTTAAAATGGAAACAGATAAGCTACAATTAGCACTTGAATCCCAATTTATAAACTAGATATATTTTTGTGGTTTTGTGTTAATTCTATTAATTTCACTCAAGCACTCAAGTTGTTTGATAGAAATACATCCATTCAAAGGCTGGGAAAATGGCTTTAAAAGATTATTTCAGAATTCATTCCATCTACACTCTCTATTCCCAATTTGGTAGACATCAAAATATTTTTAAATAACCTGAAATGCTGATATGTGCTGTTTATAGCAGCCAATGAATCGTAATGTATTTTTAAAAAAACCACCAGGCACAGCGGTGCATGCCTGTAATCCCAGCACTCTGGAGGCTGAGGCTGGAGGATTGCTTCAAATTCAAGGCCAGCCTGAACTACATAGCCAGACCCTGTCTCAAAAATAAATAATAAAAAATCATCCTACTCCCTTATTCTTATGCTCAAGAACAAATAAATTTGTTTTCTAGTAGTGTTTTCATTGAAAACACTAATGTCAAGAAAAAAAGGAATAGAAGGATACAACGGAAACAAAGCTTTTGTAAATAAGGAGGGGAACAGAGGTTGAAGGGAAGGCACACAAATGGGAAAAAGAAGCAAGATACATGACGTACAGGTAAAATGTTACCATTGTGTATATCTAAAATGCACCAATAAAAAAAGATATGTGGACCTAGACACCCTATATCAGAATAAACTGTGACTATTATCAAAATGCAAATTCTTAGCATCAGCCCAGACCCAAGTAACAGTTGTTGGAGGTAGGACTCAAAACTTACTTTAATAAGTACAGCAGGTACTTTCTGGTGAAAAGAAGACATTAAAATTCTACACGAGATTTTCTTTACTCAATGAGTAACACAAAATTGTTATTTGGAAGTAGGTTTCAGTTTTCCTACCCAGAACAACACTGTGGGGTGATATTACAATGGGTGATACTACGCAGGTTATGTGGGTAAACATAAGTCTCTTGAAATTATAATTGGTAACATTAATACTCATCATTTGTCTCGGTCTGCTTTTTCTAAAATTAGCACCTGAACTGCATCTAGAGAATCCCAGCATTCTGAGAGACTGAGGCAAGAAGATAGAAAATTCACACTCAGTCTGAGTAACTCAGCAAATTCTCTCTCAGATTTCAAAATGTGTCTAGGAGGGAGGCTCAGGATGCAGTTTAGTGAGACTATTTTTGGCTACTATGCTAAAACTGCCACTACAGACAAAACTTACTTTTTAAAAAATCGTAGCCTGACTAACAACTTTTTCCTTGTTTTTCTACGTTCCATGCATAATAGAACACAAGTGGATATATATATATATATATATATATATATACCATGTGCCTTTATTTTCTCTTTTGTTAAGTTTGGACAAGCATATCATCAACACAATGAACGCTCCCCAAACTTTAACAAGCACTCTGATCACCATATAGATCTTGCCCTGATTCAGTAGGTGGAGCAGGGCCTAAAATTTTGCATCTTCTGTAAGAAAACAAGGAGTCACATTGCTAAAAGCAAGGAGTTAAGATACATGAAAGACACCTATAGTTGGGCAGATGCCTGAAAGATTCCTTCAGCTGAGATCCACCAAAAGACTCGGAATTTTTTTAGCTCACATACTAAAAACTGTAGAAAATACCCACATAACCTATGTCCTTATTGATTCATGGTTTAAAAAACAAACAAAAAAGCACTGAGACAGATCTGCCTCTTTACTAACAACCAACTTAACTTTGAAAAATTGAGCTACCTTCTGCTAGCCTCAGGGTCTTGACGTAACAACAAAGCAAACTTCAGGATCAAAGAAAATTAGTACGTAAGATGACAGAATACCGACAATCACTAAATAAGAACAATTTAACTTGGGGTGACTCCTGTTCTGTTCTGACTTGGGCATAGTATCACCAAAGGTGCACAAATGCCTAGTAAGTTTTAAATTACAGAGATGTGAACGCCAATATGTTTCCAGTATTAAGCCAAATAATCATATCCTGCTATCTTCCTAAGAGACAAGCAAGTTCATACAACTAACAGAAAGTCACCAACGAACAACCTGGCGAGGAAGAAAAGAGAGGAGATTACATCCACTACTAATAATGGCAGGGAAGTAGAAGTTGGAAGTTAGGGTGACGGCCAGTTAGACAGCATTTCCACAGAACACACGGGAGCATGGCGTCATCTAGCGCCTCAGCGGGACACGCCGCAGAGTCCCGAGGGGAAGGCAGGACCGCCGCCTGGGGTGCAGGAGCGGCTTCCCGCGGCCTTCCCGGCTTTGCCGCTTTGTCTGCCGCTCCCGGACCCTACCTACCGCTTTAGAGGTTTAGGAGTGCAGAGCCTGCCGCACCATCAAAGCCACAAAAGCAGGGGGACCCAGACAGCGTGAAGCAAACCCCGCGGTTTGCAGGCGCGGCCTGAGCAATCACAAATAACCAGAGCCACTGAACAAGCCAAAGAGCCAAGGCGCTGGCGGGGAAGGACCCGCAGACTCTAACCCAGTGACCCTGCTACCTCTGTCAGTTCTGTTCCTTTATTGGTTGATGTTGAGGCCAGTGTGAGGAAAAGTGTCCAATCACTGAAGGCTTCTTACACTAAGTCATCCATTGGTGAACTAGGGAAATGCAGTAAGCGTTCAAGGATCGGGCCCAATGAGGACCCAAAACACTGGATTGAACTTAATCCTTCTCTATCTCCTTTGATTCTTGGCGCAAAAACTACGGGATTTCTCGACTACAATTCCCAGCACTACTTTAGCTATTCTTTCATCTCTGCGTCTTTCCAAGTTTAGTATATGTGCTGCCAAAGTGAGCACGACTCTTTCATTTCTAATAAAGCAGTTTCATAATATTTGACTCGCCTTCTTGGGTCCTAACTCGTAATCTCAAAAAGAGTTATAGTTTTTTTTTCTACTTTATTTATTTATTGTTTGTACGGTTTTGCTTGTTTGAAGTAATTTGTTTTTGAAACGAGTTTTTTACTTTTAAGGATTTCTGACCAGAGAATTGTCTCGATTTGTAAATAATGAGGGGAAGAAGGTTTGAAGAGAGGATAGGGGAATGGTGGGGGAGAAGAATCAAGATATATCATGTACAGGTACAAATTTCCTATGATGAATGTAATCATTATGTATACCTACAAATGCACCAATAAGCTTAATTAATAAAAAATTTCATCATGAAGTATTTTTAATTTCCTTCTATTTATCAGAGTCTTATGTTTGTTTTATCAGTAGGGGTCACTGAAGGTTTTGATATAGATTTTATTTTTTAAAGTACAATGTTTCTCCGAAGTGGAATCCAAATTCCACAGGCAAACCTTTGAGAAAAATTCTTCAATTGCACTCAGCCTCACTAAGAGATATTTGATTGGCTCTTTCACAGTTTGATTCTGCTATGTAGCTCATACATTAAAATTAGATGGAATTTAAAAGGCTTCTAATGGAGAAAGAAAGTGGATAAGAATAAAATTCCTGGGCTGGGGATTTAGCTCAGCGGCATAAGCGCCTGCCTTGAAAGCAGGCAGTCGTGAGTTTGATCCCTGGTACCGATAAAAAAATGGAAAAGACAAAAAGAGAATAAAATTCTTGAAACATATGCTATATTAATATCTCCCATAGTTTAATTGTAAGTGAATTTTTAAAACAAATGGTTACTTGTACTAGAGTTTACTTATGTTCCCTTGTTCTTGGTTATCTTCTTGCAATAAATCAACAATAGCATAGTAAAGCTCTTTCACATTGTCTCTTTCATGCTATTTGACCTACAGCAAAAACAGGTCTGTCATGGCTTCTGTTTCCCAAAACTACAAGAGTGAGCCATGAAAAAAAAAAAAAAAAAAAAAAAAAAAAAAAAGAGTGAGCCATGGTAGGCAAACACTGACTTTAAATATTTAAAAAGGTGATACATAATGACCCTGACTCAAAAAAGGGGGGGGTGTTAATCTTAGCCAAAAACCCCCATACTTTTATGTGTTATTGAGATCTTGTCTCATGAAAGAACAAGCAAACACACACACACACACAATTATATTTATTTTTTTTTTAATTTTATTTAAGGAGAAAAGAAAAAAAAAAAGCAAGGAAAGGGTACAAGTTATACAGATTTACAGAAAAAAAAATGAACAGTAGGAAATCACCAGTTAATGGATTACACATTGTCATCCTAGAAATAATTGTTCAAGTCACAAAATTAAAGCTTGTAAAGTAGACATTCCATCAATGATACTGCAAACAGTTCTGTTCATTGATCCAATAAAACTCTGTGATATCATTTTCTATCTTATACACTTAAATATACATGCAGTTATATAGTTTGGAGCACTTTCTTTTCCTCTCTTTTGTACCATGACTATTACACATTTTGGGTTCCATTGCTCCCACGGTTCTTATTACTTTTTTGGAAGAGAGTAAAACCAAATGTGACATAACAGAACAGAATCGGTCAAGTCAAAAGGGTGGACATAATAGATAATGTAAAAACATAATACAAGGTGATCAACAATGGTTACCATAATGCCTCCCGCTATCTCTAATAGAATTGCCTATATCGTTAGTTATAATACAATTGAACAAAACAGTAAAGAATAAAACCGACAAAACCAAAACATTGGAGACATTGTAGGTCTTCAAAAGTAGATAAAAGTCAACAAGAATGGGCGTCATAATGAATCTCATTATCTTCACAGCTGATGCCTAAACTTTCGAACCTGATACTATCCAGCAAAACAGAATAGGGGAACATCAGTTAAAAACCAGATGGTGAGAGTAATACAGGGCTTTAAATCAAGGTAATGGAAAGTCAAAGTGGGTTACTATAATATATCCTGCTATTTTTTTCCCTTAATTAAAAGGATAAAGATAAAGTAAATAATGGAGTGGAGATTGAGATAAAAGAGGGCATAACAATGAAACAGCACAGATCAAAACATAACCATTTAAGCAGAATAGTGTTTCAGCACCAGATAATCCTAACCTAAAAGTAGTTACCATATTGTCTCTTTCCTTGAAATCCTTGACTACAACTTCGTATACTGTAGCATTAAGTATATCAAAACAATGTAAAACCATTCAAGAGAATGTCAGCATTACAGAGTATTTAGAATCGACTAACAGAAAATGAACAATGGTTTCTGTATAATCTCCTTGTCTTTAAAAGGTTTTCGCTTATACTATCGTACATAATAAAATCCAATAAGATACAGCCTATTTAGACCATTGGAGACAGAAGGACAAAAGCTAGATGAGACTTCAAAACAAGATGATACTAAATCAGTATTACCTATTAAGATGTCATTTTCTCCAAAATAGCTGTTCCTATCATCCAATCTTCTCTGCCTCATTTCTGTTGAGCTCTTTTTCTTTCAGTAGCTGTCAGTTTGTCTTCTTCATTTTGTTCTCTGCTCCATTCGTTGTGGCCTCTCTGCCATTATTTCTGGATTCTTTGTATTTTTCTTTTTTTAGAATATCCTGCAATACTCTCTGTATAGTTGAATTGGTGGTTGCAAATTCCCCCAGTTCCTCTTTATCCTGGAAGCACCTTGTTTTTCCATCAACTTCCAGGGACAGTTGTGCAGGATATCTCAATCTTGGCTGGAGATTATTATCTTTCAAAGCTTGAATTATTTCCCCCCACGCTCTTCGTGATTTGATGGTTTGTGCAGAGAAATCTGCTGTAATTCTGATGGGTGTTCCCTTGTAAGTGGTCTGTTTCTTGTCTCTGACAGCTTTTAATATTCTGTTCTTATATTGAATGTCTGGAATTTTTATTATTATATGCCTGGGTGTTGCTCTGTTTGGGTTGTAGGTAGCTGGGGTCCTGTATGCCTCATACATCTGAGTATCTTTACCTTTTGCTAAATTAGGAAAATTCTCTTGGATTATTTCTGTGAGTAGCTTTTGTAGTTCACTTGTTTGTGTCCCTACTTCTTCTTTTATGTTCTTAATCCTTAAGTTATGGCTCCTCTTATCATCTTCTTGTCTTTGTATTATTGCTGTTTGTTTCTTTGTTATTTTTAAGAAGTTTTTCATTTCATTCTCCCATATTACAAGTCTGCCCTCCAGCTCAGATAGTCTGTCCTTAGTTTCTTTCAAGCTGTTATGCCAGTCTTCGATAGACTTCTTAGTATCTTGGTAGTCCCTTTGAACCTGCTTCACGTATTCTATGCTTTCTCTGTTTTCTCCATCAAACAATTCTCCCCTTTTTTTCTGTTCTTCCATTCCACCACCTGTTTTTTCTTGGGTGGTACTTAGCATTTCTCTAACTATTCTGCATACTTCTAGCTTCAGGTCGTTGATAACTTCATTCCTGAATTGGTCTATGAGGCTCTCTATATGGCGCCTTATGTGTATTGGTGTGGTGTCTGCTATTGCCTGTTTCTCAGGATTGGGGGCCGAGGAGCCTTTCTTGTTGCTGCCTCTTCCCATGCTGCCTCTTCTTCTCTGTTCCTTACATATGCAAGCTTATGTAAGAGGCCAGGCTTCTCTCCCAGTCAGCCACAGCCTGATCGAGTTGCGCCAGTTAGGTGTTCCCGCTCACAGCTGCGCACCAGGGAGTTACAGACCAGGCAGCCTACGCGTCTCCCCTCCCGGCCACCGTCAGGCTCTGGGATCTGGATTGGGACAGCCTACCAGGTCCGCCAGCAGCGTCACGAGGCCAGGCACTTTTCACCAATCCCGCCCGAGAGGGGGATGTGTGGCTGGAGTCGCTACCGCGCCCTGCTCCCGCAGGACTGCTCGGGCCCAGAAAGTCCTCTGCTGGAGTCAAACTGTGGTAGAGTGTCAGTTTCTCTCACTCACCTCACCACAAGTCAGTGCACGCCTCCCTGCCATTCGCAGATTGCCGTTCTCAGAGCTTCTGCGCGTCTCTCTCCTTGCCGAGCCGCTTAGAGGCAGCCAGCCGCCGTGCGGCGGGAAACCCAAATCGTGGCTTACAATGGCGCGGGGTCCAGCCTCCACACCGAGGCTTTTCTGTTCCTGTTTTAGCACCAGGACTGCATTCCAAGTTGGTTTCTCTCAGCCCAGTTCGTTCCTGAGTCCGCAGAGCATATCTCCACCTGCTTATGTCTCCTTAGTCCGCACCATTCCTGGCTTCTGAGCTGAGTCTTTCAGAGAGCCTCCAGTAGTTGCTGTTATCTGTCCGCCATGTTCTCCCGGAAGCTCACACAATTATATTTACATTTCCTAGGATTACAAGCCTCAGGGAATTCTTTAAAATTTTAAAAATTGTATCCCCATATAAAAAGTGTTTGGACTTGACACTAGTGAAGTTATACTACCTATCATTATGAGTCACTGCTGGTTTTTAGCTTTGAATATCTTACCACAGGACACAACTGGAATGTCAAGTTTCTTAATAGTGTATTGCTTAAATCATTGTCAGACGCTGGCAACTTCATTCATTCAAAATGACTTAAACATATTTGGAAAACATAGCTCATGCAGGAGACAGTCTAAGATAAAGAACAACAATCCCTACTCTTACAAAGCTTACATCCTAAACAACTG